TATATCAGAGGTTACTGTACTGTGTTATTAAGGTTAGTGTTCCTGGTATATCAGAGGTTACTGTACCGTGTTAGTAAGGCCAGTGTTCCTGGTATATCAGAGGTTACTGTACTGTGTTAGTAAGGTCAGTGTTCCTGGTATATCAGAGGTTACTGTACTGTGTTAGTAAGGTCAGTGTTCCTGGTATATCAGAGGTTACTTTACTGTGTTAGTAAGGTCAGTGTTCCTGGTATATCAGAGGTTACTGTACTGTGTTAGTAAGGTCAGTGTTCCTGGTATATCAGAGGTTACTGTACTGTGTTAGTAAGGTTAGTGTTCCTGGTATATCAGAGGTTACTGTACCGTGTTAGTAAGGCCAGTGTTCCTGGTATATCAGAGGTTACTGTACTGTGTTAGTAAGGTCAGTGTTCCTGGTATATCAGAGGTTACTGTACTGTGTTAGTAAGGTCAGTGTTCCTGGTATATCAGAGGTTATTGTACTGTGTTAGTAAGGTCAGTGTTCCTGGTATATCAGAGGTTACTGTACTGTGTTAGTAAGGTCAGTGTTCCTGGTATATCAGAGGTTACTGTACTGTGTTAGTAAGGTCAGTGTTCCTGGTATATCAGAGGTTACTTTACTGTGTTAGTAAGGTCAGTGTTCCTGGTATATCAGAGGTTACTGTACTGTGTTAGTAAGGTCAGTGTTCCTGGTATATCAGAGGTTACTGTACTGTGTTAGTAAGGTCAGTGTTCCTGGTATATCGGAGGTTACTGTACTGTGTTAGTAAGGTCAGTGTTCCTGGTATATCAGAGGTTACTGTACTGTGTTAGTAAGGTCAGTGTTCCTGGTATATCAGATGTTACTGTAATGTGTTAGTAAGGTCAGTGTTCCTGGTATATCAGAGGTTACTGTACTGTGTTAGTAAGGCCAGTGTTCCTGGTGTTAGTTACTTTCAGCTTTAACCAACCTGTAATTCACTTTAAACAACTATTACTACTACCAACTTCTATTACTTACTACTAATTACTACTAGTTACTACTACTAACTTCTACCACTTACTGCTAATTACTACTACTACTACTTTCTACTATTAACTACTAATACTAACTAGTACTTCTTAATATTATTACTACTACTAAATACCATTTAATACTACTGACTACTAATACTGCCACTAACAGATAATACTAACTACTACTTACTACTAGTATTTACTACTACTGCTAGCGAGTAACTAATAATTACTACTACATCTATAACTACTTACCACAACTGTTAACGAGTAGCTACTATTACTAATAGCAACTATTATTACTAATAGCTACTACCACTACAGCTAAGGAGTAACATACTACTACCTCAGCTACTAACTACCAGTTACTACTGCAACTATTACTAACTGCTAACTACCAGTAACTACTACTACTGCTGCTTTTAACTTCTGTTACAAAATATATACATCAATGACAACATTAAGTCGCTTTTTTCATTGTGTTCATTATACCATGTTACCAAGGACACGGACATGCTGCGTGTTTTACCAAGGACACGGACATGCTGTGTGTTTTACCAAGGACACGGACATGCTGTGTGTTTTACCAAGGACACGTACATGCTGTGTGTTTTACCAAGGACACGGACATGCTGCGTGTTTTACCAAGGACACGGACATGCTGTGTGTTTTACCAAGGACACGGACATGCTGTGTGTTTTACCAAGGACACGGACATGCTGCGTGTTTTACCAAGGACACGGACATGCTGTGTGTTTTACCAAGGACACGGACATGCTGTGTGTTTTACCAAGGACACGTACATGCTGTGTGTTTTACCAAGGACACGGACATGCTGCGTGTTTTACCAAGGACACGGACATGCTGTGTGTTTTACCAAGGACACGGACATGCTGCGTGTTTTACCAAGGACACGGACATGCTGTGTGTTTTTACCAAGGACAACGGACATGCTGTGTGTTTTACCAAGGACACGGACATGCTGTGTGTTTTACCAAGGACACGGACATGCTGCGTGTTTTACCAAGGACACGGACATGCTGTGTGTTTTACCAAGGACACGGACATGCTGTGTGTTTTACCAAGGACACGTACATGCTGTGTGTTTTACCAAGACACGGACATGCTGCGTGTTTTACCAAGGACACGGACATGCTGTGTGTTTTACCAAGGACACGGACATGCTGTGTGTTTTACCAAGGACACGGACATGCTGCGTGTTTTACCAAGGACACGGACATGCTGTGTGTTTTACCAAGGACACGGACATGCTGTGTGTTTTACCATGGACACGGACATGCTGTGTGTTTTACCAAGGATACGGACATGCTTTGTGTTTTACCAAGGACACGGACATGCTGTGTGTTTTACCATGGACACGGACATGCTGTGTGTTTTACCAAGGATACGGACATGCTTTGTGTTTTACCAAGGACACGGACATGCTGTGTGTTTTACCAAGGACACGGACATGCTGTGTGTTTTACCAAGGATACGGACATGCTTTGTGTTTTACCAAGGACACGGACATGCTTTGTGTTTTACCATGGACACGGACATGCTTTGTGTTTTACCAAGGACACGGACATGCTGTGTGTTTTACCAAGGACATGGACATGCTGTGTGTTTTACCAAGGACACGGACATGCTTTGTGTTTTACCATGGACACGGACATGCTTTGTGTTTTACCAAGGACATGGACATGCTGTGTGTTTTACCAAGGACATGGACATGCTGTGTGTTTTACCAGGGATACGGACATGCTTTGTGTTTTACCAAGGACATGGACATGCTGTGTGTTTTACCAAGGATACGAACATGCTTTGCATTTTACCAAGGACACGGACGTGCTTGGTGTTTTACCAAGGACACGGACGTGCTTGGTGTTTTACCAAGTACACGGACATGCTTGATGTTTTACAAGACACGGACATGCTTGGTGTTTTACCAAGGACACGGACATGCTTGGTGTTTTACCAAAGACACGGACATGTTTGGTGTTGTAGCGTGAGGGTCATTAAAGCAGGTTTTACCTACACATTACCTGCGCATCTGCGTATCACTTACGCATCACCTGCGCATCACCTGTCAATGCTTCACTTCCCTCAATGAAGGCATTCTCGCATCCCTTTCGTGAGACGCATCAGCCGCTAAAAACTGCAGCAGTTCAGATGAAATATGCTTAAACTGAGGAAAAATATACCATACCATTTTAGGAAGACAACTGACATGTTGTAACTTCCACACACGAGCAGTAATATCAACCTTGTTTTAAGCTAGGACTGTGTTAACAGTTTGAAGCCGATCGGAAGAGATCGGGAAGATCTTTTGTATACAAACAACTGACGAGAGACACCTGTACAAGCCAAGACCCGATGAATTAAACATCTGTGTAACATCTGGCCATCATTATTTTGTAGACGATTCGCCAGCCGATGTTTGTATCCTTTCATTACTGACCTAATTTACAATATACGGCAGAAAAGGAGGTAATCAGTGTCTCTTGAAGTATTCACTACCTTACTGGTACTGAACCTCAAGTGTAGTTAGGAAGACAGTCTCTAATATACTGGAGTCAGGTAAGATGGGTATCCTTCACTGTTATTCAGACGAAGGCACGGCGTTGTATGTTCCTTGTGGGGTTGGGTTATTTATGATTATAATCAGACGAAGGTAGTGAATATCTTCTTCAGGGCTGTAAAGTAAGGGTCTTACAGGATAATATACAAAATATGATTAAAAATTGATCCAGGGCCAAAAATATTAACTAGTATTTAAAATTATTGGAATATTTACTAGGTTAATAATTTTTCCTTAATTGTAGATTTAAATGATAAACAGTAATTATGAGAAGAGGTGCACATTCTGTACGTGGGGAAGAGGGTGCTCATATACGTGGGGAGGATGCTGCACATATTATACGTGGGGAGGATGGTGCACACACTGTACATGGGGAGGAGGGGCGCACATTGTATATGGGAAAGGTGCACGCATTATGCGTAGGGTGGTGCACAGTGCACACTGTACGTGGGGAGGATGCGCACATTGCTCGTGGGGAGGGTACACACATTGTACATGGGGAGGATGCACACATTGCTCGAGGGGAGGGTACACATCACTATACATTGGGAGGAGGGTGCACATCACTGTACGTGGGGAGGATACACATCACTGTACGTAGGGAGGAGGGTGCGTGTCACTGTACGTGGTTTATGGGTTGTACTGTGAAAGGTTAAGCTAGCTATGTTTACGATTTTTCTTTTATGATTTTCGACAATTTCATGTCTATTTTGGCTGTTTGTTTGTTTTTTAATCAGATTTTTGGATTTTGTCTTTTTCTAGCTGCGTCTTTTTTTAAAAGTTTATATTTTTTGACTCAATTACTGAGGTGTTTTCCCTTCGAAAAGGAATGAAATCTGACCAAGACTTGTTTACCTTTCGTTTGCCTAACAAGCGCTGCATTTTTTATATAATAAATACTTTTAATAGCAAGATTCCATTCATCAGCAGTGACTTGAAAACCACTTTAAAGACAAGAGTTTGGGTCAGAGATTCTAGGAACCTGGTGCTCTTGACAACAACAGTATCAGCTGGTTGTTTGCTTATAGCTACAACAGCATCAACTAGTTGTTTGATTTTAGCTACAACAGCATCAACTAGTTGTTTGCTTCTAGCTACAACAACAGCATCAGCTGTTGATATTACATTTGGTTTGCTTAGCTATGGATGAAGTCAGTGAACTATAAGTCCATACGCAGTAGACCGAAATTGGGTTTCTAGAAAACCAGCTAAGCTCTAGATCATTGAATTTTCGCATTCAGATAATCACTAGGCTAATATATAAACATATTTCTGGTCTTGTATGTAAGGTTTTTGCTCGAAATAAAATATTAAAAGTGTGAAATACTGACCGAGGAGGCAGAGGAGGTGTGGCAAGTGGACCATGGTGACACACTGTGGGGCGTCTCCCTGACACCCACACTCACAACATGAACAAACTCCTCTGTCTCCCCCTCCCCTGCCAGCACAACTCCTCCCAGTAGCCTTCACCCCCCCCCCTCTCTCTCTCTCTCTCACACACACACAGGGGCCAGGAGCTTTTACTCGACCCATGCAAACACGACTGGATGAGTGTACACAGTATTGAAAGCAATGATCACATAGGAGACAGAAGGGACTCCAGAAAGACGGAGAGGTGGGGTACACCATCATGTGCTGGACACAATACATACAACCGAGGAAGAAGTGAAGAGACTGATAAGCGAGTTAGATACCTCAAAGGCGATGGGGCCGGATGACATCTCTCCATGGGTCCTGAGAGAGGGAGCAGAGGCACTGTGTACCACTACCAACAATCTTCAACATATCTATCGAAACAGGACGATTAGCTGAGGTATAGAAGACAGCAAATGTAGTCCCAATTTTTAAAAAAAGGAGACAGACACGAAGCATTAAACTACAGACCTGTGTCACTGACGTGTATAGTATGCAAGGTCATGGAGAAGATTATCAGGAGAAGAGTGGTGGAGCACCTAGAAAGGAATGAGCTTATCAACGACAACCAGCACGGTTTCAGGGACGGGAAATCATGTGTCACAAACCTACTGGAGTTCTATGACAGAGTGACAGCAGTAAGAGGAGAGAGAGAGAGGAAAGGGGGTAGATTGCGCTTTCTTGGACTGTAAGAAGGCTTTTGACACAGCACTAACGTCCCATATCATAAAAATCTTTGAAAGGGTCGCTCCTGTCTGCCCCAACTACTGGACCACTACGACAAGGTCCCGAATGCACTAGAAGACAAACAGAATGCAGATGTAATATACACGGACTTTGCAAAAGCCTTCGCCAAGTCAAGTGTGACCATGGTATAATAACGCACAAAATGCGTGTTAAAGGAATAACAGGAAAAGTTGGTAGATGGATCTATAATTTCCTGACAAAAAGAATACAGAGTAGTAATCAACGGAGTAAAGTCTGAGGCGGCTACGGTGATAAGCTCTGTTCCTCAAGCACAATACTCGCTCCCATCTTGATCCTCATCCTCATATCGGACGTAGACAGGGATATAAGCCACAGTGCCGTGTCTTCCTTTGCAGATGACACCCGATTACAGCAAAGTAATGGCGGGGAAGCACCGGCCTCGATGCTTCGACAGTAATTGCGGTGATGAGGCCTCTTATCAAAAAAAAAAAAAAAAAAAAAATTAAACGCACTACCTTGGTGACTAAGGTTTGGTAATGAGATATTGTACTAGCGGCACAAATTTGAGACCAATGCTTAATTCCCAGGCTTCAAGGTGTTACAGAGCTCGTGAGGGAAGAAATTATTGATAACTTCGGGTTGTCTTATATCACTCTATCTGTTGGTGTTGCAAAGAACAAGAGCTCTGCATTATTAGGATGGGAAAAGGATACCTTGATGCCGGTGAAGGGTCCATGATCCAAAGAATTTGAACTACCTTCTCCTTCCTCGGAACAAACCTGATTATCTTCCAGTCATCTGCCGCTGTATGACCCCTGCGAGGTCAGCGCTTCCTTGTGATAAGATTTTGTAATAAAATACCAATTTATTACAATTTTACATAACAGCGCCTTTTTTATTTTCACGGTTATAAATTTGACTTGGATTTATTTAATTGTTTATCTTGATTTTTGCTTCAAAACTTCTATTTAAGAGATTAAAATAAAAATTTGTAAAACATTTTTTTTTTTTTTGAAGTACAAATGTTGATCCTGTTCTCCATATACTTAAAAATTATAATGTATTCATGAAATATAAATTGAATAAAATTAATTTGCTTTAGAAACTCGACCAATATTTTTTTTTTTTTTTGATAACTGGCCCGTATAAATAAAACTGGAGTTCCAGTGACTTCCCGCAAACGTTGTACGTATCTAGTTCACTTTACGCTCCCTCCTGCTCTTCCTTTCTTCCTCCCTCACTCCACACTCTTTTCATTTTTTCTCTCCCTCCATCTCTCTCTCTTCCATTATCCCTCCCCTCATACATCCCAGTCGTCGAAATGAAGTTCAGTTGGTACCAGGGCCATGTCGGTGTCTGGGAAATGAATGGGCGGATGACAAGGCAAAGGCTGCTACTGCAGCGAGCCCACTCTATGCTGATAGTCTGTAGGACCTGGTGGACCCTACAAACTATACAGCAGCTTACAAAGGGTTCAGCAAGACATGGGTTTTTGGCTCTTCTTTAAAAAAAAACTGTCACTTTGAGATGCATCTCTGTCATTTGAGGATCGGGAACACACGTCTCACCCGTAGCTCCATGTTCCCACGTGTTCCCCTCACTGTGTACTTTGTGGCGTGTCACTGACTGAAGAACATGCTTAAGTTTGCCAGCGGTTTAGGCCTCTCTGCCTTTTTCCATGGTCTTTATAATTACTGAGAGGCCTGTAGGGACCTCGGGGACTTTTCAAGGGAATTTAGTTTTCTTTTATAATTTAATGTTGATTTTAATTAATACTGGTTATTATATTATTTCTGTTGTGCGTTTTATTCATGTTTGATTTTTTTTTTTTGGCTATTTTTAGCCATTTATTTTGTTGGTGTATATTGTATTTAATTGTGTATTGGTAAGAGCGCTGAGTGACCACTGTTTACTAACTCCCTAAGTCTCTCCCTCCATTTCTCTCTCCCGACATCTCTCCCTTCCCCCTCACATCCCTCCCTCCCTCTCCCTCCCCCTTCACTTCTCCCCCCCCCCTCCTATAGTATCAGTGACACTGGGTGACCGTCCAGTCTTCAGTGTTGCATACAATGTGTCGACTGACTCTTCTCATCTCTATTTTGGGTCAGTATTTCTGTTATTTTGTCTCGGTGAATAATTTGAGTTGATAGCATCCTCAGCTCACACAGTGAGGATCCGGGATCTAACCCCGGCACGGGTGAAACATGTTTTTACAAAGACTTTTTAAAGAATAAAAAGATTAATTTATTTCTTTGCAATTTTTACAACGTGTGATTAAAGCTTTGATTTGTTAAGTACAAAGAAAGCCACTATCATGCCAGGGCATTTCGGGAATTGGATATGTTTCCTTACACCTACTGATCCTGTTCACCTAGCAGTAAGTAGGCACCTGACTGTTGTGGGTCGCATCCTGGAGGACAAAATTAACCCAAGTTGAGGGAAATTCTCTGCATAACCAGAGGCTTCATGTAAAGTATGTCACTGATGACAGCTACGTCTATAATAGTTGTATCATGTACTTGTAAAAATAAAGATTATTATTATAATCATTATAATCTGCAGTGAAAAAATCTCCTAAATATCCACCATAAAGGATAAAGGTTTATTTCTTCGTAAAGGTTAGAATGTGTAATTACAATTTTGGTTTGCTATACACAAAGAAAGTCACTACCATGCCAGGGCATTTCGGGCATGGTAACGATAACGAGTACCTGACGGTGCACACAGGTGCCAGCGGTCACACGCCAGGTGGTGTGTGAACCAGCATACTGTACATTTGATACCAGTGCATTATAGATTACTAGCCCATCACGGGGGTTGCCCTGATGATGATCAGGGGGTCTCGAGACCAGAAATTGGCTCAAGAGTTCTTCTCGTTCCTCGAATCAACCATAATAAGCACACACACATGAAACTTTGTATAAAACATGTATGATATGCGTGACGGGTAAATCTATTGTTAGGGAAAGCATTTCTAGCAGCTTCTAATTATATAATTTAACAGGGTAAGAGCTATTATCCTACCATATATGTCGTTCCTAATAGGCAAAACTTGCGATTTTTGTTTAAATAGCAACGCTCTTCTTGCCGAATAAGGTAAGCGAAAATTTGTGTATGCAATAATTTCGCAAAACACACTCCGAATCTAACGGAAAAAAAATATATTTCATTGTGCTTGGTTATTATTAAATTGTAGTAAACTTATCTAAAATATATTTAGCTGGATTAGGCTAAATTAAATTGCGCTTTTTATAATAAGGTTAGGTAAGTTTTCTAAGGTTCTTTTGGTACAAAATTATTAATTTTTATATTAACATAAATGAAAAAAAATATATCTTTAAACGTATAAGAGAATTTTAGAAAGGACTTAATTTTAAATGAGTTCTTGCTAATTGACCAATTTTACCTATTCGGCACACCCCTCAGCGGAGGTTCCTTGACACTGGTGAGGGGCTCTTGATCTAGGGAATTGGATCTGTGCTCCGGTTCCCTGAATACCTTCCACCCCCACATATGTTGTATAATCCAACGGGTTTAGCGCTCCCCATGATTATAATATAATCTATTCGACACGACATATATATATATATATATATATATATATATATATATAATATATAATATATATATATATATATATATATATATATATATATATATATATAATGTAGTGCCGAATAGGTAAAATAAGTGAGGGAGGGAGGGGTGTGTGCCCGCTGCATCACATACAGTGGGTGTGTGCCCGCTGCATCACATACAGTGGGTGTGTGCCCGCTGCATCACAAATAGTGGGTGTGTGCCCGCTGCATCACATACAGTGGGTGTGTGCCCGCTGCATCACATACAGTGGGTGTGTGCCCGCTGCATCACATACAGTGGGTGTGTGCCCGCTGCATCACATACAGTGGGTGTGTGCCCGCTGCATCACATACAATGGGTGTGTGCCCGCTGCATCACATACAGTGGGTGTGTGCCCGCTGCATCACAAATAGTGGTGTGTGGCCCGCTGCATCACATACAGTGGGTGTGTGCCCGCTGCATCACATACAGTGGGTGTGTGCCCGCTGCATCACATACAGTGGGTGTGTGCCCGCTGCATCACATACAGTGGGTGTGTGCCCGCTGCATCACATACAGTGGGTGTGTGCCCGCTGCATCACATACAGTGGGTGTGTGCCCGCTGCATCACATACAGTGGGTGTGTGCCCGCTGCATCACATACAGTGGGTGTGTGCCCGCTGCATCACAAATAGTGGGTGTGTGCCCGCTGCATCACATACAGTGGGTGTGTGCCCGCTGCATCAC